GTGGCTCAGTCGGTTAAGCGACTGCCTTCAGCTCAGGTCATGATCCTGGAGTCCCGGGATCGAGTCCCGCATCGGGCTCCCTGCTCAGCGGGGAGCCTGCTTTTCCCTCTAACCCTCCCCCCTCTCATGTACTCTCTCTCTCTCTCATTCTCACTCTCTCAACATAAATAAATAAATCTTTAAATAAATAAATAAATAAATAAATAAATCAGTGGCCCCACGCCTCCTAGGCTGCCCGCTAGTTATGGTGGATTTGGAAGGAAAACAAATCAACATAGCATCATTATGTCTTGTAAAATTGACTACCACCTAATCTCACATTAGCCTCAAACCCCTTTTTTAACCTTGAACTTCCAGAAGAGACCAGTAAAACTAAGGATTTATATATTATAATGACAAAAGTATTAGTTACCATTTATTGTCTTTTTACGCTCTAGGCACTGAGCTATGTGATGTACAAATATTAACTCCTCTGAGCCGCTTGTGAAGCCTAATAGGTGATCGGCATTATCCTATTTTATAGATAAGAGAGATGAGCTTTGAAAAGGTTGAGTAATTTACTAGCGAATGGCAGAGATAAGGTCTGAAATGGGTCTGTCTGGCCCAAAGCCCATACACTATCCACTCTCCTTCAGGCCTCCCTCCCCTGGGACAGGGTGGACCCACAGTTCCACCTCCAACACCATCCCAAGAGATAATCTGCATAAATAGCCCCACACCCTCCATCCATCTACAGGCGGGAAGGCCTGACCGGAAGAACTCAGACTCTGAGCTACACTGCTAGATTCAAATCCCAGTTCCATCAGTTAACTCTGGGACCTGGACAGGTCATTAACCTGTCTGAGATTTTTTCCTCAGGAAGTACATGGACATATTACTAGCAGCCACCCCAGGGTGTGGTGAGGATTAAATGAGACAAGGCAAGCAGAGCACCGCAGTGCCTAGTACTAGTTAGCGCCTGCTGATATTGTGGCAAACTTCTGGAACTAATTGCTGGAAATAATGGACCAGAAATATGTGTAATGAGTGACTGTGAAAGCAAGACTAGCCTGGGACAGAGGAAAAAGAGGTGACAAAAGTTGGTGAGCCTGGCTGGCAACTGAGGAAAAGAGGGAGAAGGCAGGGAGGCAGGAACGGGGGCTGGGGCTTGTGGGGAGCTGGGTGGAGGACAGTGTAGGAATACAGAGGCTAGCCTGTGGGCTGATAACCTGGCCTCCAGCTATAGTGGCAACAGGCAGGGGAGCCTGGCTCCAGAGCAAACACTGTTTTCGCAGTAAAGAGCCTTTCCTAATGAGCCAATCTGTCTCCACTTCTATTGGCATCCTGGGAACCAGGGTGCAGCAGAGATAATTTGCCTCACGCGCCCTCCCCCCCAACAAAGCACCATTACCTCCAACCCATTACATTAGCCTTTATCAGTCTTGGAAGCTCTCAGTCATCCTCCATGAGCTGCAATAATTTCAGCTAATTTCTTAAGTGTTCTAAGAGCCTGTGATGTGTTATGAGCCTAGTAATTGTTGACTGGTTCCTTTTCTGTTGTGGGTTGATTTCATACCTTGTATCCGAGCTGATGCGTGCTCTGGGTGCTTTATTACAATGAAGCTTTTTGCAAGGCTCACATTAAAAAATAACACTAAATCTGAGGTTGTTTTAAATCAGAGTTTAATTTTTCCACCATCTCCCGTTGTTGTTATTAGGAAGGCACGCAATTCTTCATAAAGATAGTGACCTCCAGTGTAAAGCTTTGAGCAAGTACAAAATTGAGAATTAATGATGAAGCCGATTATTTTTAGAGAAGTCTAAAAATGAGGCATAAAGTAATGAACTGTGCTGAGACCCAAGGGTGCAATGGTCATGGTGTAGAGAGGCTTGGAAAATTGATTGTGCTTTCTCCACGCACCTTTTATTTATCAGAGCCTCCTTGCTCTCTAGGGGGCCTTCTCAGACCCAAGGTGGCTGACCAGCCCCAGAAAAGCTTGCTGGGGAACCAGGAACACGCCTGCTAGCACCACCCACCCCTGTGCCCCACACTGTGTGTCGCCACTTCCCCCTTCAGCCTAGTGGCCCCTCTCAGGTAAAGGGCACAATTCAACGGTTGGTCATCCTGGGCCATAGAAGGTACCAGGAATCGACATAGGATCTGGTTTCTGTGTAGAAAACCACCCTGAAATTCACTCTTTAACCTATCATGCAGCTATATGACTGGCTCCTGTTTAGATAAGATTCTACAGTCTATTGGCATCTTCTTGTCAGCGGTGAGCAGGTGAGTTCTATTTCTAGAGAGATTCTGGGGTCTCAGTTGCATACGGGGCTCATGGTATCCTTGGCATTCACACCACATGGGACCACCGTGTTTTCTATCACACGGGTAGAAATCCGTATTTTAAGCCCGGCTAGGGGGCGCCTGGGGGGCTCAGATTTCGGTTAAGCGTTTGCCTTCAGCTTAGGTCATGATCTCCAGGTCCTGGGATGGAGCCCCACATTGGGCTCCCTGCTCAGTGGGGAGTCTGCTTCTCCTTCTTCCTCTGCCTCTCCCCACTGCTCCTGCGCTCTCTCTCTCTCTCCCTGTATCTCTCTGTCTCAAATGAATAAATAAAAAATTCTTTAAAAAAAGCCTGGCTAGATCCAGGGGTTCAAAAAATGTCATCAGTACTTGGTCTCTCCCTCTCTCTTCTCCATTTCTCAGCTCTGTTCCCCTCTGTATTCTTTGGTCTCCATGGGCTATGGCCCTCAGAAGCTCCAGACATGCATCCTGCTTGCTCAGCCACACCGAAAAGAGAGCATATCTTTGCCAGGGGTTCCCATGAAAGTCCCAGGTGTTGAGCCTCATTGGACCAACTGAGGTCACATGGCTGGTCCCAACCAATTACTGCAGTCAGAATGATGGCATGCCCTGTAACCCGCTCACCCTGCCAAAACCACACGGCCCATGAGTGGCAGAGGGGTGATTCCCCAAGGGATAGTTGAGGTGCTATTTCAAGAAGAAGAGGAACAGAGTCTGGAAAACCAAACACAAGAAACGTCCAATGTATTTAACTTTTGCATTTGCTGCTAGAAGGAAGAACTTCCAAATTATTGTGTCACTTTGCCCATGAACACTTCATGGATAGGAGGGCAAAGTATAAGAAAGGACCTCGAGATCCCTTAGAAAGGTGAGTGCCAAGGAACATAAGAAGTTCTTATTTCTACTCTTGTATTCCCCTGGACAGTAATCGGTACCTTAGAGAATTTCTGGAAGTTGGAGGCGTCCTAACACTCTTGGAAATACTTGGGCTGGAGAAGATCAGGGAGGAGGACAAGAAGGAATCCATCAAGCTACTTCAGGTTATTGCAAACTATGGCAGGAAGTACAAGGAGCTCATCTGTGAAAGCTATGGTGGGTACTGTGTTACAGTGTGGGTGGCGATTCCATGTCTCCCTAGAGGCCTGGGTGAAATGGTGGTGGCACCCAGCACTGCTCTAGGAAAATGTTGCATGGAAGCACTTTGTACAGTGGAGTCAATTAGCTCCTGTCCGTGTCACCACCACGAGAGTCAGATTTATGATTTTCTTGATTCATCATTTGCTCCAATCTTTCCATGGTGGTTTTGGAAATACTTCTCCATTTTAAATATATCCTCTTTCATGCATCCATTCAACAAAGATTTATTAAGCCATTGCCTAAAATCCTTTGTGAAATTGAGTTATGAATAACTCTAGAAATAAAATGGAAATAAATCATTGTCATTCATTGAATATGTGTGATATATGTATATATATATCACATATATATATAGTGCTGGGGATACAAAGATGAATAAAATACAGTCCTTGTCCTCAAAGAGCTTACAGTGTGGTGTGGTGAGAAGGGTAAATAACCCTGTAATTTCCCTATGTTCCATCAAGTGCTCAGATCAAGGTGGTTGGGGAAGATACCATCCCCCACACGTCCCTTTTTCAAAGCACTTCCCTCGCTGCACTTTTCATCATGGTTCTCCTCTATGTCTCCCCGTGGCCTGTCTGAGCCTCAGTGTATATATCCATTAAATGGGACTAACACCTCCCTCTCGGTATAGTTTCTGGGATTAAATGAGGCAGCCTTTGTCAGAACATTTAGTAAACTGCTGAACGCTGCACGTGTTGATGATCATATAGCAATCCCAAATGCGTGTTTAATTGTGCATTTTGCGGAGCCGTTTTAAACTTTAGAACAGATTTTGACAAGCTGACGTGCCTGTGTTGAAACCAAATCCTCTGGCCACAGAGCCATGAAGCAAACAAGACAGTGAGGCAGCATGAGAACTGAGCCTTGATTCTGCTTCACTTGAACGGGCCTCGTTCACATATCTGTCGTCCCCTGTCCATATTATATCATCTTGAGTGAGGATTTTCATAATCCCCTTCTAATTGAGCATTTCCTCTCTTCTGTGCTCAGGTGTACGATCCATAGCAGAATTTTTGGCAAAGTCTAAATCCGAAGAGACCCAGGAGGAAGTGCAGCTTCTGTTGGATTCTTTGGTCCACGGAAACCCCAAGTACCAGAATCAAGTCTACAAAGGTCTAATAGCTTTGCTGTCCTGCGCATCACCAAAAGCTCAGCAGCTGTCCCTGCAGACTCTCAGGACTGCGCAGGTGAGCCCCGGCTGCATGCTCCCGTGGTTCTGATTCAACCCACACACTAACCTTAAAATTACCTACCACAGTTGCACCTCACGCAGGCATGAGAAACAGAGATCAGCCTCCCACGGCACGTCTGCTATTCAATCAGCGTTACTTCCAGAAGGCCAAGGTGGGGCAAAGAGTTCGTGTCACCCTGCAGAGTGATTTGTCCTGTTTACTTAAGGATCAGAAAGATGTTGGCAGACTTAAAAGTGGTTGAGACAAGCAACAAGGATGATGAAAAGACTGTAGAAAAGCTTACAGGAGTCAATTTGGTAGGGAAGGAATCACGGTGCATTTGTAGACAGCGCAGGAGGGAGAGGCCAGATCGCCAGGGCTTGGGAAGGCTCCTCCTCTCCTCCTGGCTTCTGCCTCCCTCTCAGTGCCCTGGAATGTGAGTGGGATCCGATTTGGGACGTGGTGGCCACCTGAAGACACCGTGCTGGTAAGGAGGGAAGAGAGGCTCCAAGAGTGGTCTTGAGATAAATTAGCAAAAGCTCTCAAAACAGCTCCACACTGGGTGGAGGCAGGGAGACCAGAGGTGTCAAAGGGATGGTGAGGACTGCCCTGGGGCAGGGGAACAGAGGTGACCGGGTCAGACGGACATTTCTGAGGCGGAGCGCGTGGGAGGTGGGGCAGTAAAAGAAAAGCAGGCAAAAATGACAGCCAGCTTTGGACTTGGCAGCAGACTGAGCTGTGTGCCACCAGGAGAGAGCAGGGAAAGATTGATCGGATTTGGGAAGAGTTAGGCTTTGACTCGATGAGACTTGGTGCCTCCCAAGTGCCATCTAAGGAGCAGGCCTAGCCGGCTGCAGAGGACATAAATAGGTCATCTGTGTAAAAAACAAACAAAAAACGAATCCCAGGCCTCCCTCCCATAGATTCTGACAGCTTTCAGACGGTCTTTGGTAATGCTTTTTCTTTTTAAGCTCCCCAAGTAATTCTGATTTCTAGCTCAAACTGAGGAATTCCTGTTGAGGACATCTAGTAGAGATACCCACCGCACAGTAGAAAATAAGTCTGAAGCCTCGGAAAGAGACCCGAGATTAGGATGGCAGGTGGGTTTCCTGAGCAGAGAAAGGGTCACTGAAACAGCAGAAGTGAGGGAGGTCAGCCAGGTAAAATGAACCAAGAGGAGAATCACCAGCATTTAGGG